GGCTATTCTGTCTTGTTTACTTTCCTGGCTGCAAGGCTGGTGAGAGAAGTTAATTAAACAGATTCCACTGGAGAACATTTGCTTGGAGACTGATTCCCTTGCTTCAGAGAAAGAGGTATAGTCAGAAACATGTAGATTAGTCCCCACATTTATGGTCCTTTAAAATCCTTTTCCTATATTCTCTCTAAAGTTCATGCATTTTAAGAGCCTTAGTACTATGTAACATTTACATATGCTCTTTTTTACTGTCCTGGTCTTACTATTTAAAAAAAAACCCTAATATCCATATACGTATGTGGGTGGCTGTCATGGGTGTCAGTCTCTTTTCCCAAGTAACAAGTGATAGGATGAGAGGAAATGGTGTCAAGTTGCCCCAGGGGAGGTTTAGATTGGATATTAGGAAAAATTTCTTCACCGAAAGGTTTATCAAACATTGGACAGGCTGCCCAGGGAAATGGTTGAGTTACCATTCCTGGAGGTATTTAAAAGATGTGTAGATGTGGTGCTTAGGGACATGGTTTAGTGGTGGACTTGGCAGTTCTAGGTTTATGATTGGACTCAATGGTCTTCAGGATCTTTTCCAACTTAAATGATTCTATGATTCTATGTTTATGTATATTTGTAAGAGCCACAGAGATCTCACAAGATAAACAATTTGTAAGTCAACACTTCCAGCTATTGGGCTAACGTAGTGATGACTGCTCCAGTAAAACACACTGCTGAATGTATTAATGGACACCTTGGGGATGTCAGGTGCTGGGTGAATGCTGGAGGTGCTGAGTGCCCTCCGTTCCCAGCAGTGCCATCAGAAGCTGGGCATAGTGGTGAGTGAGTCAGTGTGCAGGCAGGAGGTGGAAGCAGAAGGCCAGGGCCTCTCCTGCTCTCTAAACATCTGGATGAAGTAGATGTTACCACTCGTGCAAAAAAGCTCTAGGTGCTCTGGGGTTGTCCTAGCAGAGGAGCTGCCTGCTGGCTGGCGGTGTGGCAGTAAGAGCATGGCTGATAGGGGCACTAGGCTTGTCTCCCCTGATAATAAAAGGGAGAGAATTTTCCACGAGAGATTCTGGGTCTGCAGCTAAGATGAAATAGTTTATATCTTGCTAGGTGTGCTGCAAAAGACAACTGTTCGAAAGGGTCTTTGGTGAACGCCTTCCAGTGGATCCAGTACAGCATCCTCAGCAACGTCTTCGCCGGCTTCTACGGCGTCTCCTTCACGGAGATCGACTGGCTCTCCATGGTCTACATGGTGGCCTACGTGCCGCTGATCCTGCCGGCCACCTGGCTGCTGGACACCCGCGGCCTGCGCCTCACCGCCCTGCTGGGCGCCGGCCTCAACGGCCTGGGGGCCTGGCTGAAGTGCGCCAGCCTGGCCCCCGGCCGGTACCCCCTCACCCTGGCCGCCCAGGCCGTCTGCGCCGTCGCCCAGGTCTTCATCCTGGGGCTGCCCTCACGCATCGCCTCCGTCTGGTTCGGCCCCACCGAGGTCTCCACCGCCTGCGCCGTGGCCGTGCTGGGCAACCAGGTAGGGGCGGAGGGGGGCTGGGGAGGCTTTGCAGGAGGGGGCATTGCTGTCAGAATAAGTCGTTTCGGTGGGAAGAAGCATTCTTCAAGAAGTGGTGACGCGGCGGCATCGGAGAGGGGAAGAGTGATGGAGCGAGCGCGGAAGGTGATGTTACGTCCACCCTCGGCGGCCAGTCGTGCGTTGCAGGACCCTGGCCGTGGGGCAGCGTGTAGCAGCACACGCGCTTCTGTCAGCTGCCTGGAGTACATCAGTCAAGACCCTTTTCAGAAGTCATCCTGCTCCGCTTTCTCTTCCTCTGGCGTTCGGCATCTTATCTCTTGGCATTTAGCATCGTTCGCCTGACTGAATCCACCCCCAGCTGGAGGGGGGTGAAATACGTGAACTTTCACAGTCTCCCATGCCAGTGTAATACTAGTTCGTTCTTTTTGAAGTGTGGCATTGAAGCACTAAGTGCCAATAATCGATGCCCTGGTGACTCATGAAGTTTTCTATAAAGCTGTGATAGTTCGTGTCACTGTGGGGAGCTGAGAACTGAGTCACCGATTTCCTCAAGCTCCCTGGTCCTGGCCAGTTTCAGGGAACTGGAACAGACATATCTGAAAGCATGGGTGAAGATACGTTGGTGATGGGTTTTTTCTTCCCATAACCTCATTCTTGTCCACTGCCAATGTCCCTGCTTTTTTGTGGAATCTTTTGTTACAAGATTCTAATCAACATCACTGGCACAGGTTGAGGTTGTAGGTACAGTTCAATTAAGGTGACGGTGGATTTGTTTTTCCTCATGTGAGTCATAATGATTTTATGTTTGTGCACTTTGGATTATTACAGCAGTAATAAGTGTTACCTATTTACAATTAAGGTTGCTCCTTAGCTCATACCTGGCTGTTTACAGGCTTCCCAATGCTTTTCGAGAACAATTTTTTTTTTCATTGAAGTCTTCCTGTGGATGAGTCAACTGTCCCTTTTGGACTGAAGATTTTGGGGGTTGCTGGTTGGTTGTTTTAGCAGTTGAGCAACAATTTTGCATCAGTGAGGAATTACTGGGGTTTCAGTTCTATAATACAGTGCCAAGGATTCAGCTCGGATGTGAAAGTGATGCTCTGCTCGGATGCTGAGATGTGGGGGTTGAAGGGGTGGGGACAGAAGCAGGAGTGCAGGGATTGTGCAGATAGGAACCACGAGGAAGATGGACAAGGAAAACAGCAGAAATGCGAACCTAATAAACCTTAGTTATTTCTGGAGTGTATTCTTCAGAAGCTAGGACTGATCCTAGTCTGCTGCCGTGTTTGATGGTCCTCTGCCAGGGAAACACCTGTGAAATGCACAGACCAAGTGTGTTTCCTTTCCCTCTGGCAGTCCCGCGCAAAGGGTAACAGCTTACTCCGCAGCTGTGCGGTACACTGCTAGCTGAGCTGTGTGCTGCCTAGGGCTTAAGGTTCCAGTCCTGCTTGTGACCCATGAAGACTAATATTGCTGTCAAACAATAGAATTTTCCTGTTCTCAGTTTTTGCTTTCTTTAAAAAATCTCCTCAAAAGTTAAGATTGAAAGTGAAATAACAACTTAGGCACTTGGAAATTAGAAGTAATGCCTGTACATGCCAATGCAGTTCACTTCTGCATATTTGTCATGATACAGTCTCGCTGTACTTGTTTAACTGCACGAGGTGAACTGTGTAACAGAATTGGGTTGCAATAACCAAACTGTTGGTCATCCAGTTTCTTATCAGATGCTTTGTGTAACTTCAGAGCTACAGCAAACAGGGCTGGGACCACAGTCAGGGGAGGGCAGAGTAGTTGTCAAAAATCAGATCGCACCCATTATTTCTTGAAATGCTGATCATTTGCAGTTGAAACACAAATCACTGGAAATGCAGTGGTGTACCTGGCAAGGGTTGATGGGAGTGCCAGATTTCCACGACAAGTATTTAGCATCTTAAACTGGGCACACCAGATTCATTGGAACTCTTGGTCCTCTGACCTTAACTTCTCTAGATGTAAAAGGTGAAAACCAGTATCACTTGGCTTTCTTGGAATATTGTGGGTGCTGCATTGGCTCACGTTGGGGGAGGAAAAAAACATACCTGAAGAAAAAAGGGATTGTGTACTCCGTTCGTGTTTGTAGAGTTCATATACTGAAGGGTGAGGATAAAAAGAGGCAAAATTCTTCATTTGAGTACTGGATACTGTGTAAATCTGATGGTCTGTGGGGGGAAAAAAAAAAAAGCAGCAAAGCCCTCATTGGGAATATGCACAAAGGGCGCTTTGTCAGTGCTTAGGCACACCTTTAATTTGAGTACTTTCTGAGTGTTGTACTTGCTACTCTAACAGTCTTTGGTTCTCTTTTTCATTTTTTTAAATTTTGAACCTGAAATAAATGCAGGCTGGTTTTAGTTAAAAACAATAAACTGTTCTAACACTTTAAAATGCAATTTAGTTTTGGAGAGGCACCAGAAATAAATTGGAGAGTAGTCCAAGACTTGTTCCTTCATGATTTAAAATGCTTTATATATACCCAAAATTTCAGTCTCTATTTAATACCAAATGAGTTGCTACATTGGGATTGACTCCAGATACAAACCCACTACGACTTTATTTTGTGATTTTTCTTTATTTCCTTAGCAATAATTGCACATGTAGGTTTTAGGTTTGTGTTTCTTAAGAAGGACACTCCTTTTTTTCTTGTTCTTCTCTGCTCTATCAGTTCTGCAGTAAACCTTGCATGTCAGTCTTTGTTACGGTAGTGGCAGGATCAAGTGGAGTGTTTTGATCGAGAAAAGAGAGAAGAGCGTTTCTACAAGAGTAGCTGGAGTCTTCTGTCATCTCTAGGCCTTCAGTTGCAGGACAACTGATTCAAATTTACGTGCATGCACAGTATTTTCCTGTGAAAGATTCTTCTGAAAAAACCTTCCTTAATGTTTAATTGTTAAATGTGGTATATGCTAGGTGTAGTATTGTAGTTTAATTGAGAAATGAAAAGCTTAAAATATGAGTTATGGAAGACCTGATTGTGAAATGTCATTGAGAGCAAGTGGCTCAAAAGTATGATACTAAGGGAAAACCTTTCCTTCGTAGTTTTATTAATACTTACTATGGTATAAATTCTGAATTCTGCCTGGTAAGGCTTTTCACTTCTGTTAATTTTTATGTTCACAGGGAAATGATTTTTGGTTTTCTTTTCTTGCTTGACAGCTTGGCACTGCAATTGGCTTTTTGTTGCCACCTGTTCTGGTTCCAAATACACCTAACGATATCAATCTAATGGCACATAATATCAGCATCATGTTCTATGGAACAGCAATAGTGTCCACACTTTTGTTCTTCTTAACAGGAGTTGGTAAGTGTTCCATTCTTGTGATTTAAATGGTCACCTTAGGGGGTGTTTACAAGATCTCACTTAAAGCATCTGACTTTGAGCAAAGTAGTTGAGGTTATATTTTGTCCAGTTTATTTGTGTTCACTTACCTGTTGTGCCAGGGTTAAGCGACAACCAGTTTACTGTATGTTGTGCTTCCTATCAGGTGACCCCTCCCAGAATATTTAGTTCACTTAGGCTTTTTGCTACAATGACATTATGATATAAGGCGAATTCTCTCTGTTAATCTTACAATTCAGATACAAAGGTCGACACGTTGCAGATGAAGTCTGTCTTTGACTGTGTGCTATGACCATAGTAATCAGATGTGACTTGACTTTTCCATGAGAAAATCTAGAATTTTTTTATCATGGACATGTTAAAATCCTCAAGTTAATCTGCAGTGCATCAAACTGAAACACTTAGAAAAGCAAAAGCATTAGTCTGGTAAAGACAAATCAAAACTGTTCCTTCTTTTTCCTCAGTGTTTGAAGAGAAGCCCAAATACCCTCCTAGTCACTCTCAAGCAGTCCTTCAAACTATGCCTCCTGAGGATTACTCCTACAAGCAGTCAATTATCAACTTGTTCAAAAATATTCCATTTGTACTTCTGCTGATCAGTTACGGTAAGTGGTGCTGTCTGGCTGTAGTCTGAAAGAACAGTTCAAATGTGTGCCAAAAGCACATGGAGTTTTAGTTGTAGTGGTGATTTCTTTATGGGGGAGGGAGTGTCAATCTTTTACTTATTCAGCAGCCAGTGCTGGAAAATCTGGCAAGATTCAAAATACCATTTGTAGGTCTGGTGAAGAGATTTCACCTGGCAGATAAAAGGGGTTTGCCTCTGATGTGAGTCTTAGATATCAGAAGATTAACTCTTTAGGGTATCAGGTCTGCGTGGCTACATCTGGAATCACTGAAGCTTTTCTTTTGGTACTGCAGGTATTATGACTGGGGCATTTTATTCTGTCTCTACCTTATTAAACCAGATGATAGTAACTCATTATAAGGTAAGTTTCTTGGATCTTTGGACATTTTTAACTGTACATTTGCAGAGGTGATGTGTTATTATGTAGGTGCCATGTGTGCTCAGACATTTGGTTTCCTTTATACCCCTATATAGTTTCTTGCACCATACAGTCATAGGAATGTTTGTTTGCACTTATGACTGCCGAGAGGTCTGAATTTGACTCTGAGTGGAAGCAAGTTATTAATGAGCACCATATAAATATTTGTTGAAAGGGAGAAGAAGTGAACGCTGGGAGAATTGGCTTGACACTGGTGGTGGCAGGAATGGTGGGTTCGATTATTTGTGGTTTGTGGCTGGATTACACTAAAACATACAAGTAAGTGTGGGTAGGCATGTATGGGGTTAGGGGTAGGAGAGCGGTGCAGTTGCATTGGAAAAATACTGCAATGTAAGGGCTGAAGCGAACTGGTGATAAAATGTGGTTCATCCCTGATTTTTTTAGTGGCCTTGATGGAGTCTAGTTTCTGAGGCTACAGCAAAAGCTTGAGACTCTTACTGGTTCTTGGCCAAAAGAAATGAGGGAGGAGAATGCAAACATGTGAAGGGGTTTTCTGTCTATCCTGTCTCTTCAGGACTGTAAGGCTAACAAGGAAAGCACTGTATGTTCTGCATACAGTGGCCAGGTGACCAAGTGGGCTTCTTTTCCTCAGAGAGCATAAAGGCTCAAAACCTGCTCTGCATTGTTTTTTAAAATGGACAGTTGATGGATTATCTTTTTTTTAAGTCCTACTCCTGGTCCTATAAGTAAGCATAACATTTGCTTTAATTCAGGGGATGACCATGGAGTGGAACTCTGTTCTGGATTAGGAGCTCCCAGGTCCATGACCCATGGTGTGGTGCCCCCCAGGAGTGAGCAGTGCTCTGGAGTGCTGCTTGTGGTGGAGTAGTTCTCACCTCTGACTCTTAGTACATTATGTGCAAGGGCTCGAGAAACCTAATGGAAGTTAATGCTGTAGATCAGCTTTGTTTCTGCATGTGTTTTGATTTATAGATAAGTGATATGTGCTTTAATATTTTGGATGATATCCCTTTTTCCAGATTTAAAATAAAGATTTGTTTGACTTGCCTCTTAGGCTGACTTTTATTGATAGTAGTGTTTGATTTGGCTGCTCATGTATTGATGTATTTTATAATGGGCAGTGCTGCAGAATGGCCAAGAGGTACAACATAGCAGAGAACTAAAATAGTCTTAAGGTGATAGTATCTGCTGTGGTTGTCCACTCTTTGAGAGTCTGAGTAAGTCTTTTTAGCCTTGAGTGAAGCAGCCATATAACCAAGGCAATAAAGGATTCGGGAAGGGATACATTCTCACTGCATGATATGTTTGCGGCAGAATGATATGAAGCTGTAAAATGTCAGTTATTAGAGAGTAAGTAATGTTTATGTTAGTTTTTCATGCTTCAGCAATGTGCTATGACCTTATGTTAACAATGTTAATTTTTTTTTTTCTCTGGTTGGGTTGCAGGCAAACTACTTTGATTGTTTACATTCTCTCTTTCATTGGGTTGCTGGTATTTACTTTCACCCTGGACCTCGGATACCTTATAGTAGTGTTCGTGACTGGAGGAGTACTTGGGTGAGCAATTAAAGAGGACTAGAAGACTTACTGCAGTTGTGTTCAGAAACAATATTTAACTGTTTTAACTAAATAATTCTACTGTATATTCTGTTGCCATGCTCTCAACCTATACCTATAGCTCACAAGTACAGATAGGGTTTACTAGGGTTTCACCTTCTGTTAAATCAGAACAAAGATAAGGTAACTCACTTTTCAGTTAATTTAGTTTAACTTTTTTGTGGACCTAATAGAAGTCTGTATGTGGTCCATTTGTTTGATTCCAAGTTTTCTGATTGTTCTGTGCATTTTGATTGATCTATATTTTGATAGCCCAAGCAACGTGCTGGGTGCTTTGTTCGCTTAGAAGAGCATGAGCACTTCCCACAGATACGTAATCTAAAAGCCCAGAAAGGTGCTGAGAGAATAGTGCTGTATCTAGACACAGAAGTCAAGGTAGAACCAGAGTTTCAGTTTAAAATCGAATCAGCCAACCTCAACTGCATTAAGTTCCTGTTCTACCTGTCACCCATTTGTCCCCTCAGCTTCTTCCATGGCAGCTTCTAGCAGACATTCCAGTGTCTAGCCTTCCTCCTCACTGATGGTCTCTCTTTATCCTCCAGCATGGATGTTTGAGCTGATCAAATGATGATGTTCAAGTATGTCTCTCATTTGAAAGTAATTGGCTTCAGTTATGGAGTGCTTTGTGGACTGCTCATAGAAAAATGTTTCATATGTATAGACTGGAGTGCAGGAGGTTATGGGAAACAGGACAAATATGTTAAAACATGTTTTTCCTAAAAAGAGAGATGTATGGCTCAAATTGTTCTATGAAGTTGAGGGAATGAAGCAGGCAAAGCAAATACTGAATCACTTTAGGTCTTGAAAACAGACAGTTCATAATACCATGTGTGTGTTTGATTTTTCTTAGCTGTAGTAATAGTTGAAGGCTACACCTGTTATCCTCTTACTCTCATCTTCAACAGGTTCTTCATGACTGGCTATCTCCCACTTGGGTTTGAATTTGCTGTGGAAATTACATACCCAGAGTCTGAAGGCACTTCCTCAGGTCTCCTTAATGCATCAGCACAGGTTATATAATTTTATTTCTTCAAGTGAAGTAACATTCAGGAAGGCCACTCTGCTCAAATCTAAGAAAGCTTTCTTAGACTTGACAGCTAAGTCTCTATTCTGTTGTTGTAGTCTTAATTTCTTAAATTTCCTTTCTATAAGATGTGAGCTGAAACTTTGCACGGTAAAATGATGACTCTATTCTGTGTGATCCTAATGAATCAAATTGTTTTTTTCATAGATATTTGGAATTGTCTTTACACTTGTTCAAGGCAAACTCACAACAGACTACAGTCCTCGTGCAGGCAACCTCTTTCTTTGTGCTTGGATTTTTGTGGGCATTATCTTAACAGGTAATTAATCAGAAATGTAAGTAATGATTTCTTTTTAATGTAAAAATGCATAGGGTTTTTTAAGAAAGTGAATTTCTGTGTAGCTTTTAAATGTCTTGGATATCAAGAGTTTAGATATGTGACTTTCTGTCTGGGCTGACAGAAATTACAAGTGCATGGTTTGATTTGGTCTTTTTTGCTTTGTTTTTCACTTTAAATACTTGCTGTGTGCACACCCTTTGTGTTAAGGATAATGCTGCTAACATATAGACAGCCATCTATCACCTGTTTCTTAAGTCATGTCTTGAATTTGAGGCAGATGTCGTATCTCCAGAGTAGGATAATAAATGTAAACAAATACATAAACGGAGACAGTTTGCAATATTCCAAATGCAAGAAACTGCTGATGTGTTCCTGAACTGTACCAGTGACTTACACGTGCTGATACTTAAAAATGTGCTGAAAGTGCAAAAACCATCAAGCTATGCTTTAAGTACTTGTAGTTTAAAAGCTTTTATTGTTGTTTTATTTGTGTGCTTTGTGAGAGCCAAGTTCAAATTGTCAGTAAGTTCAAATCGCAAAAGAGTGAACACAGGTATTTTGAATATGTGCTGAAAGCAGCTTCCATTTGCTTGCACTATACAAACATTCCCCTTAAACTGCATAACATGACAAAGTTGTGAACCAGCTTTCTCTTTATTTCTTTGTTTCAGCCTTAATAAAATCAGATTTGCGAAGACACAATGTGAATTCAGGCATTATGAATTTGGATGTTAAAGCTGTAAGTGGTGATTCTTTTACCATGATTGTATTACCATATTTGAATGCTTGGCTTCCATTGGCATAATAACATTAATAGCAAAAGAGGGATTGACAGAAACTTGTGACTGTTTCCTCTGCTATTTTGACTGTTTCCTCTGCTATTTTGAACAGCAGAGCCACATGGGATGCTCCCCTCAGATATCTGTTTCTCCCCTTAAGTCCCATGAAGAAATCTAAAGGACTTCCTGCTCTCAGATTTTCCTGAATTTTAAGTGGCCTATATTAGTCTCTGATTTTATTGCTTGAATCTTGTTTTTTCATATTTGCAGATAGCATCGTAAATTGTGAAGCATTTTTGTGTATTGTGTTAGGAGTCTGTGCTATAGACTACATATTTTAATTAAAATACCTGGAGTCCCTTTGAGTGAAGTCAGTGTCTGATGAACAAAAGCCATGCTGCAGCTTCTGTACTGTGCTGCATGAAGAGCCGAGTCTGTTCTGCTGAGCCCCCTCTCAATTTAAATGAAGGGTGAGCACAGCACTTTCTGCTGTTCAGGAGGTCCCAAAACATGTTTCAACAGCCTTTCCAAATTATCACAGTTCCTAATAGAAATAAGGCTGGCACTGTAAACTTTTTTCAGTGCTGTGGGTTTTTTGATCATTCGGATCAAGGTAATGAAACAGCTTTTTGGAGTCAGATATTGCAAGATCCTCTGTCACACTTCTTTTTATGTGCATCTGTCTTGCATGTATAGCAGCTTTTGATCATCTGCGATAAATGCACACTGTTAGTGTCTACATAAGGTTCAGAAACTTCCAAGCTGATGATGTATGAGCTAACTTGAACCTGAAACCTGTGCAGTTGTGTGTGCACGGTATGGCATCCTGTGGGTTTACCAGCCTGGGTCAGGGCTGTCTTGGGGCTGTACATGCTGACTATAGGCAGTGGTCCATCACTTGTCTTTCTGTTGCCACCTTGTTCATTAACCTGGATTGTTGCACAAATTCATTTATATTAGCCGGGATATAACAAAAGCCTGGAGTCCTCACCCTGATATTACCATAAATAATTGAGAGCTGCCTGTGTTAATAAGGTACAATAGCACTTTGATACCAAGCCTTGATCATAAAGATTCTATTGTGTTTAAATGTAATGGAGAAAATAAACTGAAAGTTAATCTCCACATGAAAAATAACTATATGAAGTAAATATATACTTTAGGGTTATAGTAAGAAAGTCAGTTCTGTGGTTTGGCTGTGGGGTTTTTTTCATTATAGACAAAACGGAAAATAGGGCTTTCTATAGATGCCTAATTTGGCTAATTAACTACATACACTGTTGGAGCATAACCTAATAATTACACAAGAATACTGAAGTTGGGAACAGCTCCTGCTGAATAACAGCTTAATTCCTGCTTGTTTTTTTTTTCCCCTTGGCAGGTACCAGTCGACAGTCCTGTAGAACCTGAAAGTACTACCTTAAAAATTCAATCAGCTTTATAAAGCTGGAAGAAGGTGACTTAGAAACGCACAAGTTTGGTTGGATACTGAACAATATTAATTAGTGTAATCATTGGATTTGTGTGTATGAGTAGTAAAATGTGCTTGGTGATACTGGTGATAGTTGTGCGGTGGAAACTATGAAGATACTCAGTTAATTTTGCCCAAGACACAAGCAATTCACCTTTGTATGGAATATTTATTTTAACAGTTTTCAGGTTTTGCAGTTTCATTAGTAAAAAACTGTGTGAATATTCTCCATGCTGAGGAGACATGTACAGTCAGGATGCATACTTGAAGAAAACCTGGAATCCTGAAGTACAGTCATCATGATGAGCAGTACCTAATCTTCTTTTCTTGTTCAGTCTTTGCTAGTGCATTTGAAAAGCCAGAGAGTAGGTAGACGTGCAGCTGGAGGATGTTCACAAGTTCCTTTTTTTTTTAAAAAGGTATCTGTATTTTTAATATAAACCAACAGTTCCTTCTTGGAAACTGTCTATAGCACAATACTGAAAACAGGAGATGACTGCAAACGTGTGTGTTTCATACTGGTATCTGACATTTCTTTTGCCCTGAAACTTCGTGGTAGATATCAGAAGATAAGAGAAAATGCTGTCTTAGGGATTCATTGTAACATTTCTGGGGAGATGTAATGAGTTTCCCACTAGATAAACCGAGGGAGAAACATTTCTTATTAAATACAGTAAAAAGGAAGAGAAAGGCCTTTGATATCTCTTCTGTGAAGTATTTATAGGCAATGGAATGCTACTGCACAGGTTACCTCCACGGAATATTTTGAGCGCTTTCTCAGTTAGTGAGAGGAGTATGTGTTTACAAAGAGCTGGTGCCTTTACTTTGTAAAGAAGATCCTTGCCTCATCTTGAGCTTAGTCAGTGCTGCTGAAGAAATTCCATTTGGTGTGTTAAACCTCCTCTGAATATTTGTGGAGTATCAGAAAACGTGTTCTATCCTTTTTTGCATTTATTTCTCTGTGTTATGAATTGTGTCATTTGCCTCATGTGAAATCTTTGTGCTTGTATAACTTAAATCATGTCTTTTGCAGTACGTTAAAAGCTGTAAGGATGACTGAAAGGAGAATAGTGGTGCTTCACTTTGACATATTTGCTGTTTATATTGTGCATCTTAGCTACAAAAGGAGCAGACTTCATTAACGATCACCTGGTGTTACTACCTTTATCTGAATTTGGGATGTAGATTTCTCATTGCAGTGCTACTGAAAATATTCTCCTTTACCTTGTGCTCTATGTATACACCTACAGAATTGATAGCACTACGATAATACTGAGGCCCTACTCTTACTGAAAAAGTCAGACCTGAGTTAGCAGACTTTTTGCAAAAATTTAAGCTTTAGCAATCTTTAAGATGAGCCTGCAGGTTCAGTACCATCAATGATGCTGTTTCTTTGAGTTCCGGGAGATGTAGTGCCATCCAGAAGGTGGAATCCTACTTGAAGTTTTCCACAGATTGTTACAGCTGGATATGGGGAACTTTTTGACTCCAAGATCATCTTTCAGTATGATAAGTATTGTTAAATGCTTTTCTTTTTTTGTTTCACTGTAGATTTGGAGAATCCTTTTATATAAAAAGGACTCTGTAAACTCAGCTTTCTAAGCTTAGCCTCTGAACTTGATGATCTTAATTTAACATTCTGTGTGATAAATGCCTCAGACACGGGAAGACTGAATAGCAATATACATACTGGCATAAGCTAAGCATGCTTGGAACACTTGCCTTTCCAAAAAGGGTCCATGTCTCTTTGCCAGGTTCAGTGCTAGAGAGAAAATGGGCACGCCTTGCTGCTCCTGGGAGAGGCAAGCTCTACGGGAAGAGTCCTCTGGTGAGGTAGTTGAATATAGGAAAAGTAACTCATAGATATTCAAATGTCAGGTGAGAGTATGGGAGTGGAAGTAGAGATGCTTTCATTGTGTAAGTTCTTACATTTAATGACTTGCTGTGATGTAAGCTGCCCCATCAAGGGATGTACACGTTTTCAGCCTGAGTGAGCAAAGTGAAAGTTCCTTCCTTTTGATATCTGTGGGTGGCTTTTCCCTTTGGAAAAATGGTAGTAATATGTGCCAAAATGTATACATTCTTTGGCAAGATGCGGATTCAGTAAATATTTGTGTTCCTGGCCTGTGGTTGCTTTGTACTTCTGCCATTGCAAAATCTTAATACGGTATTTTTGCAGCCTTAGGGAAGTGTTTTCAGACAGTCTCTGGCAGTATCAAGAATGCTTTCTGAGATGTCCAGCACACCCTGTTCAAATTTAAAGATTAAGCCTTTCTTTTTCTTTCTTAAAATTTATTTTTTAACTCCTTTTTTCACTACTAGTTTCCAGTTTCTTTAGTTACCTTCAGCTGATTACCAAAAAAATATTCTAGGTCTTCTGGCTCCTTGTGCTTTTTTATCTTCACCAAATTACTTCTGAAAAGATCCAAACAAGAGTTTGGCATGCTGGAAATCCTGCTGGGTCCCTGAAAATAAAATATTCCTAATAATAAAGGCTTAATTACATCCTGGACTTAATATCCCCCTCTGAAGGGGGCTTGAAAGTTGGAAACCTGTGAGCTATTTCCAGGCAACGGTATTTAAATAAAGGGCTCAGTAGCAAAATAAAGAGCAAACAAAGAACAAACCACTATTTTATACATTAATCTTCTCTTAGCCTGAGGTGCTGGCTCAGCCCTCCAGTAAGAATAGAGAGGTGGGGGGTAAAAATCGTAACTGCTTAGAGGCAATCGTTTAATGAGTGGAATTATATCTCAACTATGGGAGGATGGAGTGGGAAACCAAGTGAGGAGAAGCATCCCAAGCCCATGCATCAGCTCTTTTCAATGTTTTTTCTTTTGAGTGCTTCAAGAGAACTCTAGAGGATGCAAGAGAACTCATGTACTAGTGAGCATAAGCAAGGGGGCTGACCCCAAGTTCCCAGGGGCCCACCAAGATGTGTAATTTCTAACTTTCAGCTACAAAATTCAGAGATTAGCCTTTAAAATAACTCTATCTTTGTTTCTTCCAGACCTTGTTAAGCTTTTGCTAACTTCGGTGGGAGAGACACAGAGAACATTGACCCACTTTTATTTAGGATTCCTAACATGGCCTTAAAACCCTTGTTTCTTTTGGCTGGGTGTGAAAATATCATACCTGTAAGGCATAGCCTGAAATTGCTGAAATCAGGAGCTTTCTTTTTCAGTTTGGTAGATAAGTCCTTCAGAGCATTTATTTTGTAGATGAGTGCTTGTCTTTAATAAAATCTTTCTGTTGGTGAATGCTCATGTTTTATGAGGAAGAGGGAACAAGGGAAGAAGTGGGAAGACTACATACGAATCATTTCAGGTTAATAAGGTTTTCCTAACTTCATCCTCTTGGTCATCTCTTTTGTGCAAGACAGTCTGTCGTTTCAGAGACAATCACTGGAGTGTGTAATTAGAGCTGCCCGCCCATGTTGCCTAATGAAGAAATGCTTTTTAAGAAATCTTTGGACTATCTTGTGCATCTACAACCAAGTGAAATTGGGTTATGCTATAAGCATTTATTGCTTTAATTTTTTCCATTCTATGAACTCATGAGTTTTCCTGTGTGAATGGGAATGTGTGACCTTTTTAGTTTCTGTCTTTCAATATGTGTATGTACCACCTTCTTAAGTGTGAAAGATTACTAACGATTGATAGACCACAAGCTAAGTTATTTTATTCCATGTGATTTCCCCCTCCCCCATTCCATCTGAAGTCTATGAAGAGGAAGAAGTGATGTTAATGCATGAACTAGAATAAATTAAGCAAAAAACATGCCTAAGAGAAATTTATTTCCATGTAAGACCCTTGTTACTTACAAAGATAGCAAAGATTTTTGCTGTAATATTTTTGTTTTGTTAGCATCCCATTCTTTGTTTCAAGAGAAAATTAAAAATTCCTTATGAATATTCTCTGATTGTAATATTGTACGTATGTGTATATGTGGGTGGCATCATTCCTTTATTACTAATAAAATGTATAACATATAATTTGACTGGTTCCATGATTACCATTTTTGACAACTACTGATGCAGCTATTGGTCTAAAAATGATTCTTTTTTTTTTTTTTTTTTCTTAGAAGCTGCCATTTAATGTAGGAAAATTTTATAAGTGAGGGATATACTGTGTCATTAATAAACATGCATGCACACATATGTGGGGAGCACACATATACAGGGTATATAAATGTATTCTACACAAGCGTACTGGCTTACAGAGAAATAGAGCATGGAATTAAAGCATTAGCATCAGAGGTTGAGTTGCACTGCCCTATCATAGTGATTTCTCTTCCTCTGCTTTGGAGAAGGTCTATGAGGAAAAGAAAGTGCAGTTAACACCTAAAGCAGAACAATCCAAAGTCATGTCCTTAACGTAGTGCAAATACTACTTTATTAAAACACCCAGCTGTAGAGAGATTATCTGGGGAGAGAGGGTAGAATAACTTCTTAGAGAGGATATGCTGAGACATTACATTCAGTTATGGCCCAACTTTTGTTTGTAAAACCAGAGTTGTCTCAGTGGGAGCACAGTAGGACCCTTGTGAACATTCTGCAAGGGTTCTGTAACTTATCTTCAGGTATTCAGTGTTGATCCCCAGCACATTAGCTGTGAGCCAGGTAAGTTTGAAGAACGTGCTTTGAAAGAATTAGAGTCACTAAGAAGTTTTGGGGTTTTTTAATCTCCCTTCTCCACAAAACTGGGATTCCCTCTGAGCTATTTTTGTAGAAGAGATTCTTCACAAGAGGCTGCAGGTGCTGCAGAGCACAGGAAACACAAGCCTTTTGTTGTAAAACAATGCTAGCACCCGGTTCAGCAGCAGGATGAATCTTTGGATAGGCTCTTCATTTTACAGCCAGGGCTGAAGGGTCATAATCAAGGATCCTCTTAACACTATTTCTGTAAAAACTGCAGGCTATATCCCCTGTTCAGCATTGCAATTTAAACATTCCTACAGCTGGGAAGTAACAATCACAGCAAATCATTATTGCCTTAAAGTTCATTTTTTGGCAGACATGTTCTTTCTTGAAAGAAAACACCTGAAACCTCATCGGGTAAGTGGGAGATGTGAAGTGGTCCTGACTATGATTAGTTTAAGCCATTTTTTAAGGAAAATCTGTTTTGGGGGTGTTTGGTTTTTTTGTGGGTTTGTTTTGTTTGTTTGTTTCTATAGTTCAGACAGGCCCTGTTACCCAAAGGTAGCAAGTGCTACCCCTTCCAGAAAGTGATGTGGTTTGTGCATGGCTAGAATATGCATGTGCCTAACAGTCCAGCTGCTTGCTAGGCTGAAAAAGTTGATTAGCAGCCTGCTGGATTTCCTTCTGGCTGTACTTCACAGTGAGCTAACCTCTTATCTGACCGTGTTCTAAATCAATATTTATATCTTCAGTTAAACAACAGCTTTCAG